TCGAGAGAGAGAGAGAGGAGATGAGAGAGAGCAGAGGAGATGAGAGAGAGAGAGAGGACTGAGAGATGAGAGAGAGAGAGAGCAGAGAGAGAGCAGATGAGCAGAGAGAGCGTTAGAGAGAGAGAGAGAGAGCAGATAGGGGGAAGAGAGAGAAGAGACGGAGAGGATAGAGAGAGGATGAGATGGATAGAGCAGAGAGACGAGAGAGAGAGAGAGAGAGAGAAGAGAAGAGAGAAGAGAGAGAGAGACGAGGAGAGAAGAGAGAGAGAGAGAGAGAGAGCAGAGAGAGGAGAGAGAGAGAGAGAGAGAGAGAGAGAGGAGAGATGGAGAGGAGAAGAGAGAGAGAGAGAAGGATGAGCTTAGAGAGAGAGAGAGAGAGAAGAGAGAGAGAGAGAGAGAGAGGAGAGAGAGAGGGAGAGAGAGAGAGAGAGAGAGAGAGAGAGAGGAAGAGGACGCAGAGAGAGAGAGAGAGGACGAGAGATGAGAGGGACGGGAGAGAGAGAGAGAGAGGGAGAGAGAGAGAGAGAATGAGAGAGAGAGAGACAAGAGAGAGAGGAGAGAGAGAGAGCGAGATAGATGAGGAGTGAGCACTAGAGTGAGAGCGCAGAGCAGAGAAGAGAGAGAGAGATGAGAGACGTGAGAGAAAGAGGGCCCTCGCCAAGTGCAGAGCTAGAGGGTGAGATGTCATGCTACACACGCATGCACGCGCACGCGCACAGAAACAGAGACGAGCAACAGAGAGGTGAGCGAGAGAGAGAGAGAGAGAGAGAAGAGAGAGAGATCGAGAGAGAGATCACCAAGAACGGAGACGAGCACGAGATGAGAGCGCAGACAGGAGAGAGAGCGAGAGCTGGAGAGAGAGAAGTGACCAGTGACAGTGAGAGCCGAGCAGAGAGAGAGAGCAGATGACGGATAGCCCACGAGACGAGAGAAGAGAGAGGCAGTGACAGGAAGACAGTGGAAGGTATTTTTCAGTTAGTGGCTGCATTGCACAGAGATTGTCATGTACTGCATGCCAGAGAGGGTGGCCAGGGGAGAGATGCCAACCACTACCGATTTAAATCCGTATTTTATACGAATTCTATTCCTTTTGCACCACTACGACCAGTTTGTATAACTAGAATTTCAACTGTGCATCGCAAAAATATTTTTTTTTTTTTATTATTAGTCATTTTTTGTCAATTTATTGTCATTTATTGACCCTCAGAATGCAGGAAATGCAATCCAGGGCGGCATGCCGCGACGCCCTATCAAATCGGGTCACTACGCTGACCTCGCAACTACTAATTTGATGGCCAGAAACTACAGATTGCTTCAAATACGTGTTGGCATCTCTGGGGTGGTGTTAAATCAGCTTAGCTAGATAGATAGCTGACGCAGAGCTTATTAAGCTTAAGTTTGTTTAAAATTTATTGCTAAATTTTTTTGGCTCAGTAGCATCGAATGAAAGGCTTGTTGAACCCACGATAGAGCAGTACAGTCTGCATCCAGTAAAGATGTTTCAAGCCTCTCACTTCACGCGTATCTCTCCTTTCTCTCTCTCCTCTCTCTCTCTCTCTGCTTCGCTCGCACGCGTGCAGGATGCTGTGCATCACGACGCAGCCCGCGCAGGCGGACAAGATTCTCGTCGAGCTCGTTGCCAAGGCGACGACGAAGCTGCTCTGCAACCGCTCCTTCGTCTTCTGGGGCGGCCAGTGGCTGGGCGAGGACGCGCAGCGGGTCGTCACCTTTAGGAACCCGTCGTCGACTCAACCGTTCTCCTTCACAGCAGAGCTGAAGCTTCGCGCGAGCTGCTTTAAGGTGTGTACAGGGTTTCTTATACATAACGCCACAATTTAAAAAAATCTTTGTTTGCCCTCACGCGACCCAGGCTGAAAAGTTTGGGTAGGTAGGTCGGCTTTTTTTCTTTTTTGAGTGAGGTCTTTTTACAAATTCAGCGTGGTGTCTACATGCTCGGGTGTGCTTGTATGGAGATACCTTTTATGTTGAATCATGAATGTTTGTTTTGCTTGGTACATAATTCTACATATAATCCAGAGAGACATGATACAAGATTGCGTGGCACAGCTTTGCTGTTGATCCTGAGCGCTGCGCGCGGATGAGACCACGACAATGGTGAAATGGTGAAACCATGTTGCAGTATTAGTCGAATTAAGAAACTTTGTCCGTTTAATTTTGACGATTCTTTGCGGTATTATTGATCTGCTGTCCTACCTTGCTAATATAAAACAAACCGCTTGTCCCTACGATGCTCCTACGCTGAGATAATGAGCGGTGAAAATCTGGTATTTTCGCCGAACACCGACTCGACATCAGTGTTTACTGCGACTGTCTTTCGCTATTGGGGCAGTTAATAGGGGGGGACTCATCATAATTATGTATGTGTAGTGTCACTAGTGTGCATTGTGACAATTTGTCAGTGTCACTTTTTTATTGTCAGTGCGGTTTTATATTTTGTCTTTTTATTATTTTTTTATTATTTTATTATATATTATATTGTCACAATTGAAACAAATTATATTTGTCTGGTGATATGCACAGTTGTAGCTATACCCGGTTGGTAATAGCCGGCTGTGGTGTTGGAGCCTGACCGGCACGCAGCTTTAAATAACATTTTTCCAACCAGCACAAAAATGATTGAGTTTGTGTAAAATTACCTTCAAAATAGTGAGCAATAATATCTAAATAATCTTACAAATAATCACAACTGATACTCATACACTTATAATTAATTTAAAAAACAACTCAACAAAAATAACATATATTTATATTATAGTGTATTTATTTATTTATTTTTAACTTTTTATTTATTTTTTTTATTTATTTTTTTTATCTTAACATAATTATGCATAAAATCATCATCTGATCACATGGTACAGCGCCAGCAGTACATGCTAAGCACCATGTTTCTATTATAATAATTTTATGCATATGACGCAATCACTGATATTAAGCCGGCACTAAAATTGTCCTGCGCTACAACACTGTAATAGTACCATAAATATATATATATATATTATATATATATATGACTTGTGAGAAAATGACATAACTTCACCGCCACGCAAAGACAAATCGTTGCAGTACTGCCTGTGCATAAATGAATCTCTATCTGCAGACGGTGGTTTTTACGAATGATACCTCGTCGAAGAAGAGAGGTGCAATCGTCGTGAGCTACGGAGATGAGGTGATCAGACGACGGCTGAAACAGTAAGCATGCACTGCTGCAGTGCAATATTGACACTCCTACCCAGTGTTTCCCCTGCATTGACACGAGCGAGGCCCGGGTGATACTCCAATAGGAGTGTTCCCAACTTTATATGTCATTAATGGTCATAATATATATATATATATGGTCATGTAATATATTGGTTTGTGGTTTAATGTCACTTTAGGTTAGGGTTAGGGTTAGGGTTAGGATTATCAATCATTAATCATTAATCATTAATAATATCAAAGTTGCGAGAACGCTCCTAATGGAGCGTTAGCCGAGGCCAGGCTCGCTCAAATTCTGAGCCGTCACACAGAAATTTGTCCAAAACACCGCCTCGCTGACAAAAATCTCTGTTCTTCAATAGAACAGTGCTTATAATGCACCAAAGTAGATTAGAATGCACCAAATTGCACCATTTTTTCAAAAGGAAATTTGGGGGACATTACCCCGGACCCCCCTAGCTGGGCGAGCACATGCGGTGCTTGCTTTGCTAGGACCTCGAAACGCGCAAATACACCAAAAAATGTTACCACCTCACAGACCTTTTTGGCCAGGGAAAACACTGCCTACCAAACCAGTATCCTACAATGTTAGCTTGTGCCTGATATCAGATGTGCCTGATATCCAATGTGTCTGTTACTGTGAGCATGGTGTAATGTTGCTGGTATGGTTCAATTCAACCAGGCACCAACTATAGCTGAGAGGGTCTATGTCCCCAGGGTACTGCCGGAACGTACCCTGGGTACGGTCCGGTATACCAGAACGTACCCTGGTACTATCTAATATGCCGGAGTCAGCCGGACCATACCTCGCCTACTCCACTAACGAGTCTAGGGAGTCGCCTACGCCTACTCCCTTAACCCTAACCCTAATTCCTAACCCTAACCATGTCAGATAGTTACCAGGTTACGTTCCGGTATATCGGACCATACGTACCCAGGGTACGTTCCGGCAGTACCCTTGGTGACATAGACCCTATGAGCCCAACTATAAGGACCAAAGCAGGGTCCGCTTATTGCAGCATCGTTTGCGATCTCTGCATGTATATTTTTAATCGGTACAGTATGTAGTGTAGTCACCACGTCACGTTACATATACTTGTATTACGCCATATTTTTTGCGTACAGAATATTTTCGCGAATTCAGACTTGATGCACAATTTCGCGGTCGGTGAATTAGGAATTATTCGGGTATTATTGGTATGAATTATTCGCATGTTGTTATTTTTTGCGGCCGGGTACACGTTCGCGAAATTCGCGGATAATTAACACCACCGCGAAATATACAGCGTATACAGTATAGGGTTACCATGTCGCGTGGCGATGTCCAGCCATCTTAATTTTTCGCCTCCTACAGACTACTTAAGATTGTCAGCCTATTCCAGAGGCGTATTCACAGCTGCAGCGTGGACACTGAGTATCGGCATGAGGAGTCTCCTGTAGAAGGTACTATTCTCTCTATATATGTTTGCCTTCTATTGTCGCTAAATGTAAAGCAATTCCGGCCGGCATTCCAGAGTATGTCATGCATTTTACTATTTGTTTGTTAACTTTAATCCGTACATTTTTGTGGCCCATGACATGTGTTCATGACATAAGAAAAACATTAATTTGAAGCTTTGGTGAATCTAAATCTGTCGTGTGACAGATTAAAGTTAAAGTACTAGTTCAAGTTATATAATATGTGCTGTCTTGCAGTTTAATTTAGGCTTTGATATAGCATCATTTTAGTCCTAGACTAGTAGCCTATGCAGGGCCGTAGGCAAATTAGGGGGGGGGGGGGCAACATTTCATGACCAATCAACTGTGTAATGATGAGCGACGGGGGCGCAGCTTCTGATGCGGCCTACCATAC